GTGAGTGAATTAATTTGTAAGCAAACGAGTGAATTAGTGACTTAATGAGTCAGTAAGTGAGTATAGAAGAGTGTGTAAAATTGAGGAGATCACGCTCCAGGCCCCCTGGATGAATACAATAAGCAGTGCTATTCATTTTCTGTCCTTAACCCTTGCGGGTCTTGAGGATGTAGCACAAGAAGAGTGACAGGCTGCCAGCTGGAGGAGAACGGTATTGTGGGAGCTTTGACAAATTTAGAGGCTTAAAGCCAGATTTCCTAGCGTAAAATGCTGGATGTCAGAAATCCAAAGTGGTTGTCGCTGGGTCCAGACATGGGCAGGTCGTGTGCACTCTAGCTTTAGGGGAGAATCCACGTGCTTGCTTGCTCCGTGGCGGCCCCTACTTCTTGACTTGTGAGGTCCTTCTCCATGTTCAAAGCCAGCAAAGCTGCATCTTCAAATTTGCTGACTCTGACCCTTGGCATCTATCTGGCACCTCCTTCCCTAAAGGACACACCTGTCTTCCTCAGGTAAGGACCCATGTGATTATATCAGGGCACCTGGATAACCCAAGATAATTCTCTCATCTGAAGACCTTAATCACCTGTGTAAGGCCCCTCTGCCTCGTGCTCACTGGCTTCAGGTCTTGGCATAGGAATCGCGGGAGTGGGAGGAGGGGCGCACAGGGAGAGGAGGTAGCCAGGGCCTCATCACGAACCCCTACCAGGTACCTGGCTCTGGGGCTTGCTGCTGCTGTGTCCTGAGCAATGGGACTTTTAAAAGCTCCCCAGGTGGTTCCAGCATGCCCTGAATTTGAGAAATACTTTGACAGGTGCTGTGTCAAGAGGCTCGGCAGCAACTGAGGGTAAAGTCTGCTCTGCCCTGTGATTCCAGGAGAAGGACCAAGAGCTGCATGTCTCAAGCCTGGGTGCCCATGTCTGTCAGCCAGGGAGATTTAAAAAAACATTTTTCATCTGAAATGAGACTAAAGCTGCACACAATCCAGAAATGTTCTATATACTCCCCAGCCAGCTTCCCCTAATATTAGCATCATATAAACCACGGTGCATGTATCATAACTAAGAAATCAGCCACAGTACAGTTTGTTTGATGGAAGGTTTTGTTCTGACTGCCCTAGTTTTTTTCACTGATTTTTTGGGAGCCAGGCTCCATCCCAGCTCTCCCATTGCAGGGAGAAGGCATGTCTACCCTTTCTCTTCCAATCTGTCTCAGTTTCTCAGGCTTTCTTGGTGTTCCCAAGACCTTACCACTTTTGAAGGGTACCATCAAGTACTTTGTAGATTTTTCCTTAAATTGGATTTGGTTGATATTTTCATGTGATTAGGCCGGGGCATGGAAGAAATGCCAGGGTGAGAAACTCTTATTATCACATCATAGTAGGAGGGACGTGACATCAGCACGGTCTGTGACTCATGCAGTTCAGTCTGACCGCCTGGTAAGGTGGGGCCTGTAGCTTTCTCCACTGGGAAAGGACTTCCTGTCCTTTCCACACTCTACTCATTTTCTAATGAGTAGAATCCCTAAGTCCTGCTCACACGTAGGGCGGCCATGGGGGGGTCAGGTGCCCTTAACCCATCATTTTAACTAGTTCATTTACATCCTTTTATTCACCTTGCTGCTCAGACAAGGCCCACAATTTGAACACAAGTTTGCGGGCTCCCAAGACCATGTTTTAATTTTCATTCTCTTTACCAAGTAAAAAGAAATCAGTCTCTGAGGTGGGAGCGCGCTCGGTGTTTTCAAATCCTTACCCAGATGATGGCCCATTGGTGGGTCATGAGATCAGTTAGTGGGCTGCATGTGGCACACTAAGAGAGACCGTAACAAGACAGAAAAGAGCACATTGTGCACGCAGTAAGCAAACTTTCGTTTCTGTAAACTCTCTGTGTTAAAAACCCTTTTATCATCACAGTGGATAAAAATAGCACAGCCCCTCGCGGTTGCTTGGGGGATTGACGGGCGCAGTGCATAGAACAGAGACCGGCACATTTCACATTATGCAAATACTACGAACCTCGACTGCGCACAAGTGGGTCATAATCTACTGCGTATTTTTATTACAGACTTCAATCAAAACATTCAACTATATCTAACTCACATCTCTAGATGAGGGCGAGGGAGTTGGAGATTTACAACCCAAGCCCACTGCCTGTTCTGGTAAAGTTTTATGGGGGCCCATTTACATTCACTGTATTCATATTGTCTATGGCTACTTTAGAGCTACAACACAGAGTCGAATACTTGGAACAGACACCACGAGGGCCCTAAATATTTCCTATCTAGCCGTCCGGACCAATGCCCCATGCCTAGTGCTCATCTCAGAAGATTTTAGATGCCTTTTCTGCGGCCCTGTGGGCCTGTCCTGCCGCTGCCCGGCTAGCCACGCCTGCGTGCAGAGCCCTCTAGCCTGCTGACTGCTGAGCGCCAGGGCCTCCAGAAGCTCCAGACCCTTCTGCCTTGCACTGATGCCCACGTCTGCTTTATGTATGCACCTCTATGGCTGTTCATAGCAGAAGGCTAGAAACACGGTGCATCGATCAGGGTCCCAGCAGGAAACAGATGGCCACTCAAATTAGAATAATTTGAGGAGTGTTTAATAAAGAGGTTATTTACAAAGGTAAGGGCGAGTGCAGGGAAGTCACAAAGAGTGCAGAGTCTTCAAGGCTAGTAAAAGCACTCTCAGTGGGAGTGGACAGGCAAGGGAGAGTTCCTGAACCTAGAGAAGAGGATGCCAGAACCTGCAGTGCAGGGGATGGAGAGTCAGCTCCAGGTGACTGTGGGGAGACAGCCAGGGTGATGCGCGCCTTGAGCTGCCCTTCCAGTCTCCCTGATCTCCTGCTGAGGTCTCCACTGACCAAACTGAAGGGGAAGCCAAATGGGATGGAACCCCTATGGATGAACTCCCCAGGGGAGGGAGAAGGGCGGGGGAGGGTGGGAAGGGGACTGCAGGGGCCAATCTCGGACACCAGCATACACAGCACTGATCTTCCAAAGCCATGTATGCTCACCCCGAAGCTCCCCTGAAGATCACCCTGCTTTATCTCTCCAAGTTGGGAGTGTGGCTGAACACCAAAGGGTTGCCTTAGCTTTTTATCTTCCTCTGCCTTCTCTTCTGAGATCACTAGGCTCCGAAGGCTATCATGGGTTAACTAATCTTCCCAGATCTTATCATCATGGTTGGAGTGGAAGGCCACAAACAAGTAGCTCTAAGTTAATTTATTTATTATTTGTGGTGGTGAACTTGTGTAGGATCTGATTAACACATACAGATATTAGCCAAGGTCCTCAGAACCCACCTTTCCATCTCAAAGAAGCGCTGATCCCACTCATCTCTGCAGCCCAGTTCAAGTCCAAAGAACCAGTGAATCAATCCCTTGGCCCCGTGGGAGAAAGAACCAGAGAGAACAAAACTACCTGAACTGAGAAAGGTCCCCAGAGTAATCCACCCCTATTCTCAGCTCAGACTTCCTTCGCTGGCATCTGATAACTGACAGGCCCCCAAATCCAGACACAAAACCCAGTACATCACCTGGAGGGTTGTTCCTGGCAGTCCACAATGCCGCCTTTACCAATGAGAAGAGGGAGGGAGAGAGGAAGGGAGGGGCTGACTTCGGCGGTCCAGTCAACCTCCTGGCCGAACTGGAACTAGAATTCAGGACTGGGGACTCTCATCAATTTTCATCTTCCTCTTATGGAAGATGGACTTTGAAGTCACTCTTGGAGCCTTGGGGATGAACTTGTCAAAACTGCCAAGTGTGCACCCATCTTAGGTGACTTTCCTTGTCAGGCTGCTGAGGGACCCTCAGCCCCTGCAGCAACATTTTGGTGCCCCCGGGATGAAGCACAGGTGTAGTCAGGCAAATTGGACCAAATCCAAGCTCCCACCTGTTAGTGGCTGGTTTACCTTAAACAGATGGCTTTTTATTGAATGAGGCTTGGTCTGCTAGTCCTATAAATCTGGTGTAATCATCAAACGAGTTGTGTAAATCCAGATCTGTGCACTCAAGGGCCTGGCTGTCTCTAAAGGTCAATAAATGAGGCTTTCACCATCTCGCCTCTGGCCTCCCATTTCCCTCCAGACTGGTGGAATATTTGCAACTTGCCTTTACAGAGGGCAACTAGTTGGAGTGCAGCTGTGAGAGCTTTGCGCTCTATCTCCAAGAAATGGGGATCCTTGAGAGTGGGGAGGTCGGTAGGCTAAAGATGCTCTTATGTTCATGGACACAGGTATAATTAGTTAAAACCTCAGGGTTCTCCTCCCATCTCCCCCACCCCCAATTCCTTCAGAGAAATGAAGAATTTAGATTTAGGGCCCAAGTGCTCAGGTTCTAAATTAGACAACTTTGTCCTGACAGGAAGCAAGTCATCGCTGTCATACCTGATTATTTTTAGAGTTACTACTAAACCCTTTGTGCGGTTATGAGCTGCCACCATTCAAGGCAAACAGAAAGACTTCACATTTTATCGTGACAGCTCTGGAGTCAGCCACCTCCTCGTGTTCATTATTTCCAGCCTGCCTCTGGAAGGGATGATGTGGCATCCTGACATTTTTACGGAGAGGAAGGCAGACCCGTGGCTCATTACTACAGCCCAGGGGCTGAAGGCTCCAGACAGAGCTGAGCAAAGCCCACTGCCTCCAGGAAGCCAAAATGAACACCGAGGGAGGCAGCTGCTCCTTGGCTTACTTATTGGAGAAAGAATTGCCATCTCTCAGGAGAAGCAAGGTGGCCAATGAACCAATGAGATGGCCTGTATGCAAATGTATATGCAAATGCCTTGGGCATTGGCCTGGAGTGGGCGGCTGTGAGTGATGTCACAGTCCCTGCCTCTGACCCAACAATGCCGTCACCATTGAAAAGGCCCACACCTGCCTGCAGCTTCACCAGAGAGAAAAATTCACCGCAAGTAGAGCACCTTCTGGATTTGTTCCTGGGGTGTGGGGACAAAAGTCTCCGCTTGTCCGCATTACTGAATCCAGAAATAAAGATGAGCTTATGAATATGGGAAAAGAAGTCCAACTGAGGCCTAAGGTGAATGTCTCTTCTTACATCCACTTTTTGCTGAATTATAGGAACAAGTTCAAAGAGCAACAGCCAAATACCTATCTCAACTTTAAAGATTTCTCTAGAAAATGTTCGGAAAAATGGAGGTCCATCTCAAAGCATGAAAAGGCCAAGTACGAAGCCCTGGCCAAGCTTGACAAAGCCCGATACCAGGAAGAGATGATGAACTACACCGGCAAGAGGAAGAAACGAAGAAAGCGGGATCCCCAGGCACCCCGGCGGCCTCCATCGTCCTTCCTCCTCTTTTGCCAGGACCACTATGCCCAGCTGAAGAGGGAGAATCCGAACTGGTCGGTGGTGCAGGTGGCAAAGGCCTCAGGGAAGATGTGGTCTGCGACAACAGACATCGACAAGCGCCCCTACGAGCAAAGAGCTGCTGTCCTGAGATCGAAGTACCAAGAAGAGCTGGAAGACTACCGTAAAGAACGGAAGGCCAGGAAGATCCACGGTCAACCAAGAACCAAGGCAGAGGGAAAAATGTGTTGATCGATGAAGAATAAATTGCCAGTCATCTGTACCACCTGTCTCTGGTCTCGTGTGTGGCAACCGAATGCGTTGTTATTGCTTTGGGGTGGTGGGTGGCAAGGGAGAGCTAAGAGTTCAGAAGGATCCTGGGGAGGGCCCTGAGCTAAGTGGCCACAGAGCCCTTGGGCAAGTGCCCGCAGCACTCGGTTTGGGTGGGTGGGGGGAAGACTGCAGGTATAGAGAGACTGCAGTGGAGGTGGGAGTGTCCTGGCTCCTGGTGGTTTGGGTTGGTGGAGGCCACAGGGGCAGGTGCGTGGCCAGCAGTCCTGCCACTTCCTCACCAGGAGGGCATGTTCAACTCAGGCCCAGCAGAGGGACTCTGTTTCTCCTGAAATTCCAGAACGGGTCCCCCAGCAAGCCTTTGAGGCTATTAATAGACAAGAAGGAGAGACTCCGGGGTGGGCCCCCCTCTAGTTGGGATCAAGGGCCAGGAATGATTTTAAATGCAATTGTGTGGGTTGCCCCAGCCCTAACCCTCAGAGTGAGCCCCAGCATCGCTCTGCGGGCCCCACCAGCCCACTTTCTGCAGACGTGACCCCCACGGAGCAGCCAGCTGCTGACTCTCACCATCCCATGGGGATTTCTTGTCTCACATAGACTTCACCCTGAGCAAGGTTTGATCACATGGACTCAGAACTTCAGTCTCAGAGGCTCTCGGGCGCAAGGGGTTGTAGGGAGGGGTCACCCATTTGCTCATTCTCATGCCACACTTGTGAGTTACTTGGGAAGCAGGACATTCCTGGACTGTTCACTGAAGATGAGCGCTTCATTTAGGTTTTTCTAGGAGAGTGTGAGTTAAGATTTCTGCCATTTTCTGCCACTCCAATTGAATCAAAACTAATGACTGAACACAACATGGGTTCCTTCCATGTCTGTGTGTTGAGTCTTAGGTAACAACATAGGTTAGGTTGTTTCAAAGCAATCAGCCTAGGTCGATCTGGAATATTTTGGCCTAGCCCTTTTGACATTTGATGTCATAAAGACTGAGCGAAAGCACAAACTTACCTCCTGCTGCCCTTATTCCTACTCATTTTGTGCTCTGCTGTCTTTCACACTGTATATGGGCGAGCCTCTTAGGAACAAGAGGTTGGCCAGTGACTTAGAAACCTAGGGCCTGGCTCCCACAGGCTCCCACATGAGGCTCTGCTGGCTGCTGGGAGGCGCAACCCCCCCCCCCACACACACCAGTGCCTCCTCCACAAGAATTTGATGTGAGCATAAACCACAGCTAGGGCGTGATGAGGAAAGTGACGACTACACAGTGCCGGGGGCGGGCATGGGACCATCCACCAAGATGACCACTGAAGTCTTCGCAGGGGAAGCAGCTTTACCCCACTTGGCAACCTTGTACACATGCTGGCAAGACTCCCGTTCCCCATTCCTGTTCCCTGCAGCTGCTGTGCCAACTTGGCTCTGCTTTCCCTCCAGCCCAACCTCCACCCTCTCAGGAGACACCCTCATTTTCTGCTTCATTGAGAAAATAGAGATCATCAGACATAAGTGCTCTCAGTTTTCTTCTTTCTCAACATGTATCCCACCCATCTTTTGCTCCTGATCTCATGTTTCAGGGAAGCTATTATCCCCTAGTGTGGCCTTCTCCCTTCCCCCTGCACCTCACTGGAAAGGCACTGATGGGAAGCATGTACAGGCTGGCTTGGTGTTGTGACACAGGGGGCTCTGATCTGTAGGGCCTCATGCAAGTTCTCATTCTTGGGTCTCAGGGCTCTCATCTATGCAATGGGCCGATATAAATATGCAAAAGCATGTGACATGGTCCTCTCATAGAACAGGCCGTATGCTGGACACCCTCTACGATGGCTGTCCCCCTCCTTGTAAATGTAGGCTGAATCTGTGAATTGCCTACAGGATGGGCAGTGACTTCTGTGATTATATAAAACTCTATATCTCAATAGCTGATTTGCTCTAGAGATCGTTCTTGCTGGTTCGATGAAGGAAGTGGCCAAGCTGGGGAAGCCTGAATGGGAATGTACTAGAGGTGGCTCCAGACTAACATCCAGGAGGGCAAACACTCCAGAATCTAGTGATTCTAACCTACAACTAGAGGAACTGAGGGTTGCCACGGGCAGGAAGAGGTAGGACCTTCCCCACTTGGGCCTCCAGATGAGAAGTCAGCCTTGGCTAACGCCTTGATTCCAGCCTGTGAGACCTCGCACAATGGACACAGGCAAACTGTTAAAGACACCTAATCCACAGAAACTATGAGATCAGTGTGCTGCCGAATGCCACTAAGTGCGCGGTTATTTCTATAATGAAGATAATACTGAAAACAGCCATTTTCCCTGTGATTCTAAAAGAAACTGTCTTTAACCTTTCTCCCTCCAGCCTTGACCTAATCTGTCTAATGTCCTTTCTGCTGTTACCAGCCTCTTGAAGGTAGTGGAGGCCCAGGGCCAGTCAGTCCTCCGTGTACTGCTCTGTAGCAGTTCCACTTGGCCTGTCTTCCAATCTCAGAGGGGGGCTTTTGCCAGGCGGTGGCTGTGTGTCCTACACTCTTCTCTCGCAAAAGAGTCCCCATGCTGTTGGCCCCCCGCCCTCATGTCCCCTTCTCTGGGTTTCTGTTTATGTGTATGTGGGTGGCCAAGTCAGAGAGTTGATGACAGTTTGCAGGGCCCCTGCTGAAAATTAACTCCATTAACATCTCCTTATGAAAATGGTTACAGGAGGATGTGAAATGGTTGGTATTTAATAACTGTAATGTAATAACAGCAAAGGTGGATTGGGGGTGGAGGGGTATGATTATGGTGGAAAATCTGGAGTAGCCTGGCTCAGGCACCCCTGCCTGGGTAAGTGGAGGGTGTGTCTCATTCCCATCACCCTCTCGATGACTGATCACTCTTCTCTGACCCTTCTTCCTAGACCCTTTCTCTGTGCTCATTTATTCATTCATTCAACAAATATGCAAGTCTTATGCCTGCATGCAAAGTATTGGTTGTTTGGAGACAGTGTCTGTGCCTTTAAGGTCAGCTCCAGGACAGGGTGAGTCATCAGAGTGAGGTCAGAAAGCTTTGCCACTCTTTCATGTTGTCATGCACCTCTCATCACCTACCCACAAACAATTCCTGCCCCACAGGTGAGCTGCACAATACATGCACAGTTCTGGTGCTAAGAATACAGCAAGGACCCTGACCTCTACATTCCAGCGTGGGAGAGATGCCAATAAATCAGCCAACAGATAAACACACCACATCATATTTTGATAGTGTCAAGTACTCTCCCCCCAAAAGTAAATTAGAGTAATGAGATAAGTAACGACAAGTAGGGTGGACAGTACTTTCAGTGGGTGGCCAGAGGAGAGTTTATATTTAAAGGTCAAGAAGGAACCAGGTATGCCACATCTGACAGAAGAACTCTTGAAGCAGCAGGACAGGAAGTGCAAAGGTCTTGAGGCAGGAGTGAGCAGGGCCCTTTAGAGTTACAGAAGGGGGGCCAGGGTGACTGGAGGTGTGAGTACGTGGGTGAGAGATGGTTGGCGCAGGGCAGACCTTGGAAAGTTTATTTTGAATAATCTAAGCATGACAGGGAAGCCACAGTGGGATTTTAAACAAGGGGAGCCAGGCACTTTCATATTAACTACTAGCTACTGGCTGGTCACTCAAGTGTCTTCAGAGACCACTGAATGCCACCAAGGGAATGCCAGCTTCTCCAACGGCTCCAGAGAAAGAGGCAGAGACAGCCCATGCCAAACCCATGCAGTTTTTTTTTTCTTTTAAAGGAGATAACCAGAGAAATTAAATATGGAAAATGAAACTCCTCAATAATCCTCCTTCTTGATGATTCATTTTCCAAAGGATGAAGGGAAGTTAGGTACGGGTGACGGAATGTTCTGAGGCATCCCTTCTTTCTAAGTCCTCCTATTTCCACTTGAACAGCTCCCGTTAGATCAGGGTTTTAACTTTGAGTCTTCATTAGAATAGCAACAGAGTTTATTAAAACACAGTTGAACCCCACCCCTGCGGGCTGATTCCTTTATTCTGGGTGCCAAAAGTATAATCTGCACTTCTGATTTCCCAGGTGATACTGAGACTGCGGGTCCCAGGACCCCAGAGGAATCCCAACATCCACTCCTCAAGGGAGGCAGTGGAGAGGAGCAGTGCCCTGCTCTTTCTCCTTGCTCCCCGACTCGGCTGCAGAGCATGGTCGGGTCTGTACCCCAATCATTTCACTAGTAGTAAAGGTGCCAGACTAATCCTCACCTGTGCATCTCCTGCGTCTGCCAACTGATTCTGAATTGGGTGGGAGGCCATAAATTTATTAATTGGGTTTCCTTCAAATTCCAACAGGGAAGTTAATCCCACCTGTAAAACAACTGATTGGCATGTGGCTAACACAACAGCACTGAGCTTTTCTTTTTGACTGCAGCCTCCGCTAAAGCATCAATTGTTTAGGGATAAAAAGGCTCTTAAGGTCTAGAGATCAGCGTCACAACAGGATGGACTCACAGGGTGAAGTCAGTGTCTTTACACCGGCACCCTTGCTTTGTCATGCACCTATAAACCACAGCCCACAAATGATACCTTCCCTACAGGTGTATGGGGAATCCAGGAACTGTCTGGGACATCATAGTAAATGTGTAAGAAGTGCCTGGTGAGAGGAAGTGCCTGCCCCGATTTCTGTAGGATGGTTCTGAGGTGAGGACGACACACAAAAATGTCAGCTGAAGTAGGAGAAAGCTTGGTGAGAAGCCCAAGGGGAGCTGCGTGCCGTCCAGGCTGACCTTGCCCGCTGGGTTGGATTAGTAGCCACACAATGAGCATTTCTGGTGGCCATTCCCTTAGAATGGTTCCCTCCCTGCAGCCCTCCCTGCCATACTGCCTTTCCTACCACCCTCTGCTCTGATTGGCTGGATCATGTGTGAGGCTCCTCCCCTTCAGCAGTGAACTGCTTCATTGGCTGCCCATCACCCCTGGGTCTCAACCCGGCTGCCGCTGCCTTCAGTTCTG